ACATACACACAAAATTTTAAATAATGATTTTCTGCTGTAATACATTTTATAAATAATTTATCCCTGTGATGGAAATCTTCAGTGACGCATTATTATTCAGAAATCAATCTAATATACTGATTTGGTGCTCAATTATTATCATTTATTAAAAATGTGTAACTAATTGTAACCATGTCATTTTTCCAAATGACGTCCCTGGAGGTCCTCAAATAGAAAACAAATGTCCCCAAACTATAGTTAAGAAAACACACAACACATTTCTATCATACTGCTGAAACATTTATGGTTTAAAACCGCGTTTGATGCTCTTACCCGTCCTGATGTGACTGGGTTTCCATCAGCATACTGTTAGTGCGGTTGTCCATTTCAACACCGTCCCCTCCGTACATGCTCGAACGGGGTGTGCTCAGACAACTAGAACGCCTGGAATTCGTACAGGATGTTTGATTGGACCCTGGGATGTTCATGGGGGACGGGCCCATGGAGCACAGCCGAACAGTCTGGTTGATGTTACGCACTGTCTCAAAGACACGTTTAGGGTGCAACCTGAACAAAAAGTGAAGACAAGAATGTACAGAGGTTCATGCGAAACGTTCTGAGGTTTTTTCTCTCTCTCCTTACTCTCCTTAAACAGTTCAAATGAATTACAATGCCATCCTTAGATGATTTGGACCTACAACCATTCGATTATCCGCTCAGATCTTTAACCAGTAAGCTAAACTGATGAAAATATAATAGGAAAACATTTTAAACATACAGTGCCTTGTAACAGAGATTAGAATACATGTTATATTGCTCTGAAACAGACTCTGAATGCAAATTTTTAACTCATGCAGGATATGGAACATAGGCAGGACACAGGAAATGAAACACTAATACACCTTTGTTCCTCTACGTCTGGATCAGACATCTGAATCTCTTTTCTCATGGAGCCTTCAATTTCAGCAGCTAAAGAGTCCTGTTACACACAAAGCACAAACACACCATTAGCCAGGGGAATAACAGTGATATCATATGTATACTAGTGTATATATAGCATACTCTTGTACTGCTTACTGTAGCACACACTAAATAACAATAAATGCTTTAACAGTAATATACTACAGCTGATATCACATGACCTTATCAGAATATTTAATTCAGAAATGTCCTCATAACTCTATATATATACAGATAGATAGATAGATAGAGAGATAGATATTAATTTAATGATAAATAATTCACAAATTAATAATACATTTAGGGCTGTCACTAACGATTATTTTGGTAATTGAGTAATTGGCTCCACAGCTCTGGCCAGGGATGTCAAATCATGCCCTTCGCTTGCGAGAGAAGGTCAGTCCTCAGTTGTATCGACCAAGGGGCTGCCGATAGCAGCTGAATCAACTCAGGGAACTATATATGATTCCTCCAGAGTGGGGCCACCAAGACGACCGAATATCTGACTTCCCTGACTCGTCTGATGACCTGAGGAAGCAGGGCAACTGGGGGCATACAGGCAAGCGCTGGGCCAATCGTGCGCCAGGGGAACTCGCTGTATCGAAAAGTAAATTGGGCAGTGAAAGTTGTCTTCTGAGGCGAAGAGGACCAGATCATTTGAACCATTTGGGGATGTAGTCTCCATTCTCCTGGAGCCACATTGTCCCTGGACGACATGTTTGCCCCTTGGTTCAGTCTGCCTGGCACATGAACTGCTCTCAGCTTTGTGCCCATAAAAGGAGGCGTCGAGCCATCCTGTGAAGGGAACGTGACCTGAGACCGCCATGGCGATTGATAAAGGCTACCACCGTCATGTTGTCCGAATGGACCAGGACGTGGTGTAAGCGTTGCTCCCGGTTTTACCAGGAGCCGAATGCCAGTCCGCCCTCGTACAGGGCTCCCCAACCTGAGTTGGAGGCATATGTCGTAACCACCTTCCTTCTGGAGGTCAGTCTCAACTGACGTAATCCATACCCGCAACCGGGCAGAATCAATAACTGCCCCCAGAAAGACTACTTGCTGGCTGAGAGACAAAAAGCTCTTGGCCAAATTAATTCTCAACCCAAGCCGTTCCAGGTGGCTGAGCAGCAGCGGCCTGCGAGTGATGAGTTCCCATTCTGATCTGGCTAAAACCAGCCAATCGTCGAGGTAGTTCAGAATGTGGATTCCCATCTGTCTCAGAGGGGAAAGAGCCACGTCGATGCACATCGTAAAAGTGTGTGGGGCCAGAGACAGTCCGAATGGCAGGACTGTATATCGATAGGCCACTCCCTCGAATGCAAATCTCAAGAATGGTCTGAGATGGGGGCTATCTGGATATGAAAGTAAGCATCTTTCAGATCCACTAATAGAAACCAGTCCTCAGGGCATACTTGCGCGAGGATCTGTTTCAAAGTCAGCATCTTGAATGGCTGATGGCTCATGAGTGAGTGGTTCAGATGCCTGAAATCAAGAATGGGTCTGAGCCTGCCATCTTTCTTGGGAATGAGGTAGTAACAGCTGTAAAAGCCCGACTCGCTGTTCACTAGAGGAACCGTTTCCATGGCTCCTTTTGCAAGCAGTGTTTGTACTTTGGACCGGAGAACGTGAGCATCGTTGTCCCGTACCGTAGTTTGAATACCTCTGAAGCGAGGTGGCCTGTGAGCGAACTGAAGCAAGTAGCCTCGTTCTATGGTTTTTAGAACCCAAATTGACACATCCAGGATAGCTTTCCAAGCCTGAAACCGGATGGCAAGTGGTCTGAGTTTCTCAAATGATATATCGCCGCACGGAGGCAGGGAACTGACATTCGTGGTAATGAGGAGAAGAGAAATGCTCTTTTGAGTATGTGGATCTCCTATCACAGCGGGAGTTTGCTTGGGTGCGCACTGAATGGGAAGGAGGGACGCAGCTTGAATGGAGCTTCCATCGCTCAGTGTTAAGTGGAGGGATGGAGAGCAAGTGCAAGACTTCTTCGAGGGAGTTCCGGCCTCGGTGAGGACCGACCCGGTCCCTGATCTCCGTTAGATTTAGCCAGCACCACCAAGTTGGCCATGTCCTTGCCGATCACCTGCACAGTGGCCTTATTAGTGAGCAGAGCAAAGTCAGTCACTTTGCGCAGCTCTCTGAAGGCATCAGAACTCTGGCTGGACTCGTTCATGGTGTGGAGAAGTTTAGCCTGGAACACTTGGAGCACCACCATCGTGTGAAGCGCTGAGTCAGCCTGCCACTGAATAAGCCCTGTTCACTAGGGCTGAGATAGTCCTGCAGGGCGTAGATGGGTGCGCTGAATGGGCTTTCAACCCCAGGGTCGATGGAGGGCACAGATGCACAGCGACCGCCTCTTCCAGAGGAGTGAGCTTGCTATAACCTTGTTCTTCAGAGCCATCAACAGTGGTGAGAGTGGCCACAAGTAGAGGGATTAGCATGCGCGGAGTAGGGGGCAGGCCTGGTGAGTTCCTCATTAACTGTCAGCAGAAACAGGGCAGCCATTGGCGGGAGGATTGTTGACGGCATCCCTTCAGGTACCACTCATCACGAGGGCAGTGGGCAGGCTCTTCTGGAGTCAACCAAGCCAGGCCGAGATCCTCCACAGCCTTGGTTAGGACGCGGATCATCTTGCTGCCCATGCTGGGCCATGTTGTTTGAGTCGGTGTAGGGGTGTTGGGTTCTTCGCCAGAACACTCTTCTGCATCTGAAGCCGTCAATGACACAGAGTCATCCATGGCAGCTTCCTCCTCAGACCCGCCGAAGGAAATCGAGCCGTTCGCAGCCGAGCGACTGATGACTCAATAAGTGCAGTTCACCTTTATTCCTCAAGGTGGCACTGTTTGATATACAATGGTTATGTGATGTTTCACTCATAATTATTACTTATTGTGGTGAATAAGCTACCAGTGATCAAAATATTGATTTTGAAATAATTGAAAACGATAGTTTAGAGAATATGGTTAAGATCACAAATATGAGTCAGATGCTGAATGTACTGGGAAAATGCACTCTGACGATGACAGTGATGTAAAATGTAACAAAATATGCTTTATTTTATTCTTTTGTAATTGTTAGCAAATATCAGGAGAGTTTTATCCTTTTGCAGCAGTTAGAGAACCATCTGTGTCAGATATACAGATCCAGGTCGCTAAAGACCTGAATATGTAATAATGATTGGCGAAACATCCATGCATTTAAGGGTTAATATTGACAAAACAACATTTAATTAAAATGTCCAATTAATCTTTAATATTTGATTAATGTTTTTTTGTACGACAGAAATGCTACAGCCACTGTAATTTCTTGAATATGTGGACATCAAAACGTGTAAACTCGTGTTGGCATAGGTTTATAAATGATTTACCTTACTAATCTGATAAAATGGTGCATGTTGCATTCCCAGATGAAACTTATAATAAACCCAAACTCACAGTAATATGCAAAGATGGAGTTTGAGATGATCCACACAAGCAAACGATAGCAGTTTGTGTGGAGCAGCATTTCCTGTGAACGGAGCCGGTCTGAGATGCACGAACGTAACCTACACGCATGCTCGCATATATTAAACCTGCATCGCATTTATTTATTTAATTGAATTGTAGTGTTTGTGAATTCACAACAGTACTATGCTTTATTATGATTTTCAGAATATATAATGCAGCCTTAGAAATCTGTATAATAATGCATTTCATGGATTCTTGTCCGTGGAATGTGCCATTTCCGGTATTTTGCCGGTTACTCGACACTCGATTTTTTTATAATCAAGTACTCGAATTGAATCGAGGAATCGTGACAGCCCTAAATACATTAATTACATTTACAATTTTAACAAAATATTAAAACAATAATCATTTTCTTGTTGTCCGTTTCTCACCATGGGGAAGAGGCCGAGTGAGTGGAATCGTCGCGGTGTACTTAGAGGCAGCGTTTTATTCCTGAAGTTCTTCAGTTCCTCCTGAGCTTCATGAAGCATCTCCATACATTCAGCATACTTATCCTCCAGCTCCCTCAGCTACAGACAGAAAGAAACAGATAAAGACTGAGATAAAGAGACTGATAGCAGGTGAAAACAGCAGTAAAATTCATTTAATCAGTCAGATCACAGTTTCAATTCAAATCACACAAAAGATAATGCACATCAATGTTATGGTTAATTGTTACATGGCGGCATTTTAGTTGAATTACAGTATGTGAATATGCTGGTGCGTTTGAGTGTGTGTGCACGTGTTACCTCTGCTGTTAGTGCTCTTTGGGCATCTTTAGCAGCTCCCAGGTGCTGGGTGAGCTCTTCATTTTCTAGTGCATACTGAAAAATAACAAACATCACACATGAATACACAGACAGAACTTTGCTTCCTATAACTGACAGCACAACAAACTAAACTAAATGAGAACCAAATAAAAAACTGTTGTGATTATGCTTCACTAATACATTTCTTATTAGCAATGAACATTGAACACAGCAGCATTAATTTTGGTTCTTATATCACACTAAAGAAAACTAGCCAAGCTAGTGAAATAAATAAATACAAAAAATTATTACCAACAATACTAATATTATTACTATTAAAACGTATCAGTAATAATAATAATAATAAATAGCAGGTGATGTATTCCTGTAACTGGCTATTTGTGCTATTTAGCAGGTTGTGTTAAATGGTTATATCTTGCAAAGTTTTTAAGTATAGTTTCATATTTATAAGATTGTATTCTGTGTTACATTGTCCAATTCTGTGTTATATTGACCAATCTGAAACAAGCATTTCAGAGAGCCATGTATTCATCACGTCTACTGGACAGTGAGGATAACTCACAGATTTGGCTTTTTTCTGC